CAAAAAAGGGTGGGAAGTTAAGAAATGGGCTTAGTAGATAGCGTCCTACTCTGGCATCTTTAATCTGATCGGAAAAAACTGGGATTCTTAAATTATGCTTTTGTGCCTATACGTTAGAATTTGACATAACCTATTCAGTGTAGGAGGCAGTAATGAAACAGATAGTCATTCCTAAATGCCTTTTCTTATATAAAAGCTTTCCTTAGATTTAATGTGTCTTTAGGCATGGATGCGCATGTGTGTGTGGTGTATGTATGTGTGCATGTATGTGTATGTGTGGTGTATATGTGGTGTGTGTGTATGTATGTGTGCATGCATGGTATGTATGTATGTATGTGTGTGGTGTGTGTGCCTGTATGTGTGTGTATGTATGTGTGTGGGTGTGTGGTGTGTGTGCGTGGTGTATGTGTGTGGTGTCCGCATGTGTGTGTGTATATGTGTGTGGGTGTATATGTGGTGTGTGGGTGTGTGTGCATGCATGGTGTGTATGTATGTATGTGTGTGGTGTGTGTGCCTGTATATATGTGTATATGTGTGTGTGGTGTGTGTGTGTGGTGTGTGTATGTATGTATATGTGTGTATGTGTGTGGTGTCTGCATGGGTGTGGTATATGTGTGGTGTGTGTGTATGTATGTGTGCATGCATGGTGTGTATGTGTGTGATGTGTGTGCCTGTATGTGTGTGTATATGTGCGTGGGTGTGTGTGGTGTGTGTGTGTGGTGTGTGTATGTGTGTATGTGTATGTGTGTGTGTATGTGTGTGGTGTCTGCATGGGTGTGGTATATGTGTGGTGTGTGTGTATGTATGTGTGCATGCATGGTGTGTATGTATGTATGTGTGTGGTGTGTGTGCCTGTATATATGTGTATATGTGTGTGTGGTGTATATGTGGTGTGTGTGGGTGTGTGTGCGTGTGTGTTGGGATGCAGCCGGTTCAGTGATCCATTCTTGTTTGCAGCGGTCTTTTTTCTACAATGGCAGTAAAGAAAGGTTAGGAAACTCTAAGAAATGTTCTTATGTTATTTT